TAAATAAATAAATAAATAAATAAATAAATCTGTTATGTTTGGCCACATTTTCAAAGAGCCACTGTAGAGGGACCAAAGAGCCACATGTGGCCCCAGAGCTGCAGGTTGCAGACCCCTGGTCTAAGTCTAGCTTCCACAACGCTCTTCCAGATCTTTGTTACAACTTTGTACGTCAACCTTGTTCTTAAAAAATCAAAGAAACTTCAGCATTCAGCACTCGACATTCACACCGCCTTTACAAAACAAAAAATCCTTTTGCATCATTTTTGTTGGTTCCTCAGGCAGAAGATCACGCTCTGGCTGTCTTCTCCAAGTTGTTGGGAGTAGAAAGATCTCAGATATCCCACTGGCTGTGCCACCGCAGACTCGCAGTGGGAGGGGAGATGCTGGTGAAACCCATGACTGGTCAGCAGGCTCTAGAAGCCAGGGATGCTCTTGCTAAACACATCTACGGTCAGCTGTTTACCTGGACGGTCCAGAGGCTGAACGTGGCCCTGCGCAGTCAGAGGTCAAAGGCCAAATCCTGCATAGGAGTGTTGGATATCTACGGGTGAGCAGGGAGCTTCAGCTTTGTGGAGTTGTTTTTGTTCTGCAGTGAATGATTACAGYCTTACTGTGTTCCCTCAGAATATTTAGAAACATCTTATCTTTCTTGGAGCAGGTTTGAGACTTTTGAGTGGAACAGTTTTGAACAGTTCTGTATAAATTATGCAAATGAGAAGCTTCAGCAGCAGTTTAACCTGGTGAGTCTTACAGTTTGATGTATTTTTTTATTTTTTGTTTTTGTTTTGGTTTCTGGATCATGTTTGTGAGAAATGTCAGTTATTTTAGGAAAATTATACCAATCATATCTATTATAAATATAAAGAAAATCAAAACAGAGTCAGTATATAGAGTAAATTTTATTTATGATCCAATGGTCTTAAACCTGTGTTCTTATTCACCTTACACATAGGAAGTGTTAGAAACACTTATAGACTTTGAGAAAAGTTACATATATTTATTGATGCTAAAAATTGTTTTATGCATTGTTTTGGCTTTATCATGTTTAGGTTATRTTTTAACAATCACTATGTTCAAATTTTGGACAGCCCAAAACAACGTCTGCAGTTTTATTAACAAAAATCTTACTTGATTTTATATTCTTTATTATTTTTCTTTATTATTTCTTTATTATTATTCCTTTATTATTATATATATATTTGTGCTTCAATGTGAATCACTGAATTATAGGATGGTCTTAGTTAAAGTAGCTTTTCATTGGTTGTCTGGCTCCGGAACTTTATTATCACAAAAGTGGGTGGAGCTTAACTTTTAGCGAGAAGTGGCACAGGGGTGGCCAAGGTGTGATTTTAGGGTGGCACATGAAGATAAAGAAAACTGCTCTTGATTTGAAAATTCAAGATTACCAACATAGCTCATTTCAGATTAATCTAATTCAGCTGTTTTAAGAAATATTCAGCCTGAAACCTTTGCGTGTGATCGTAACCAGGAACGAGCCAAAAAAAAACATGCCATTTGCTAATCCCAATTTAAGCYAACTGCTAAAGCAAATTTTACAATTAGCTTTAATTAGTGTAGTAGAAGCCAAAAACAATCTACTAAACTCTAAATGCTAATCGAAAATTAAAGATGGGCCCCACAGTTACTTTTAAATGGCTGTAATTCAGCTATCTTAAGACTTACTGAGCTGAAATTTGTTGTGGTGTAGCCAAGAATGATCCCAAACACATGCCAATTGCTAATTCCAATTTAGCTATATGCTAATGCTATTGATAATTTTACAATGGTCTATAAT